CCCATATTCATGTTTGAGTCCTGGGTCCACCCTGGTTTTCTAGAGTCCCTGTATGTGGAGTCCCTTCTGTGTCCAGTCTCACCCCAGACCAGCACTGGCTGTGGTTGGTAGCAGGGTGCCCCTGCCCTTCTTTGAAGAAGATGGAGAAATGGAATCCATCCAACAGCTCCTGCTTGATCTGCTGTGTGGAGCTCTGCAAAGAGAGTGAGCCAGGCGAAGATGTGTCAGTGGCCTGCCTGGCTGACCCCATAGTGGGACACCCCCATTAGAACTCCTCCCTGGCACCCCCTTCCCCAACAGGATTTGGCACATAGGAGCATCTGCATAGACCTCCAGCCAGAGCAGGTTGAAGTCTCCGGCAGATGACAGCTTGATGTCTTGGGATTCAGATCTGAGCAGACAAGCTATGTCCTCGACACTCACCTTCCCATCCTGAAGGTGTGGTCTGGGCTGTGAATCTGACATACTGTCCAGGCTCCAAACCCCCGGCAACCTACCTGCTCCTATCCAGGGAGGGCCCCTCTTCTCCTGTTTCCCCCAAACACATTTGGAGGGGCTCAGCACTGCCCTGATGGACACAGCTGAGGCCTGGCCTTGACAGGCCTGCCCTGGGCCCTGTGTTACCTGTGGGTGCCTTCTGGCAAAGGGCCAGAGGCATCGAGGGTGAGGGTTGTACCAATGTCTATATTCTCGAGAAACAGTCTCATTTTGGCCTCTTCTGTGACGAGGAGGTCGGCAGCATGTGGGGACACAGCAGGAGAACATGTTGTTCTCTCGAGTGTCGACTCCCAACTGAGCTGGAAATGGGGCTGTGTGTATAATATGGGTGCCTAGTTACCAGAATTCTAAGTTCTGTTGGGGTCTGTCAGTAAGGAAGTGAGGTCACATCTTGTAGGTTCCATAAGCACCTCCTTTCTATCAGACTTACTCAAAGGCCCCACTGGGCTTCTGGCCGCTCACCCTCCCCCATCGACTCCTTACCTTTCACCATTATGCCAAAGTGTTCCCCTTCAGCAGCTTGGGAAGACCTCGATGTAACCAGGGTCCCAGGTTTGAGGAGACAGTGCTGGGTCAAACAACCTTTATCTTAGCAGTTGTGAGACCCTAGAGAACTCCTTTGGTGTTTTGGGGCCTCCCCAGCATGCACAATGGGGGTTATGCTAGCATCTCCCTCCTAGGGAACTCATGAGGTGTGTTTGAGATAGATCTTATAAAACTCATGATGTGGTGTTTCCTGTAGATATTGCACACACTTACAGATGGAGGAAATTCAAAAAGGAGTGAGAAGTAGCATGGACGAGAACTCCAGTGGGCCTGGGGTTCATGGTGTGGTCTCAGGAGAAGACACTTTTGCTCTGGGCCTCCTCTTTCATGCTGCACCAGTTGAGGTTGAGATTAAATGAAATTCAGACATCCTCCTCCTCTCACATTGCACCTTCCAGTGCCTTCCCATTTTATTTAGACCCAGACCCTGTGTTTCATCTCAGCCTAGGGTGGGCAGCATCCACAAAGACAGCACTGAGGGGTTAGTGACTCCCTTCTGAATGATGGAGTATGACACAGGTGATGGAATCGCACTTCTGGGCTAGTTCAGGATGTTACAACAAAGAGCCATAGCCTGGGGAGCTGATCAAAAACAGAATTATGTTTCTCCCAGTTCTGGAGGCTGGACGTTGGATGTCAGGGTACCAGTCTGGTCAGGCTTTAGTGAAGTCTCCTGTCCCATTCACTGAGCTTTTACAGTGCTGTCCTTTCCTTGGAGGACAGCTCAACTTTAGGAGCCTGAGTAGACTTCCATTCAAAGCCCAGCTCCCACTTGTAGCTTGGTGATCTTTGATGGGGTGGAAAACAGGCATCTTCTTCCTGAAGACAACAGAGATATTGCCTATGGCTGAGGGGTCCTGGAGGTGATCCGGGTGCAGCGACATATTTGAATGTAGGAAATTGTCTCCCATTGAGACCTGTAGAGACTAAAAGAGCCTTAGGAACTTTCACTGTTACCGCTGGAGTCTTGGGGTGCAGATCTCTTGAGCACCTGCACCATGACCTGGCCCCTCTGCTTTTTTTCCTCTTCCCTCCCTGCCCGGGTGAGGCCCGTCCTGCTCTGGGGAGAAGTTTCTATGTGGTCCTCAGCCCACCTCTGCTCCACTCCCTTCCTCATAGGGCTCATTGTTGTCTCTGTCTCCACCCTCCTGGGTCTATGATCCACATGGGGCTGACAGCTTCATGACTTCACTGACCAAGTCTCCAGGAATGACAATGACAATCACCTGCCCTGGAAACAGCCGTCATACTGTCAATCAAGGCACAGCTTGGATTCAGGAGCACCTGGGACACGTCCCCAAACCTCAGACCCAGAGGGGTAACAACTATCCCTCTGGGACCTCAGGGAAGTTGCCCAGCCCCATCTGAGGGAATTTGGCCTCCCTGGCCATCTCTGGGCTCCAGGCTGGGGCGTGATTTTCACTATTTAGCACAGGCTGATTTTCACTATTCACTGCAGGCTGATTTTCACTATTCAGCACAGGATGGCAGCCTTGCTGATTGTTCTCTGATTATCTGGATGCTCTGTGACTCCTTCTGTGCATCTCTGGGATCATCATTCAGACTCGCCTGCAACCTGAGCAGTAACACCAATGTTGTTTGCTACGACATTTACTGGAAACACGACAAGACAGGCAGCCTTGCCTCCCTGGTCTCTACCAAGATTCTATTGAGATTGAAGTAGAACCAGGGCTCAGGGTCCCCAGCCTCTTCTCTGTGTGAGTGGATGCCGCCGCCAGTGCTGAGGCTTTGCACACCATTGGGCTCAAGCTTGAGGATGAGGCTACTAATGGCACAGTAGTGCCTCTCACAGTGTCATGGATGAGACGTTCTTTCTAAAATAGAAGTCCTTTTTTTGTTTGTTTGGCCCCTTTGATAAGTAGATTCTATAATTAATCAGAAATTTCTTTTATGGAGGGTAGAGACGCTGGTGAAAGAGAAACGGGGAAGGACTTGGCATGGGGGGTGGGTGGGCTTCAGACCCGGCTCTGACCCCCATGAAAGGAGAGAGGGAAGAGGGATCACTAGGAACTGCCCCAGTCCACAGGCAGGTCAGATGTCAGATAAAGCCTCAGCCGACGGAGTGGGTTCTTTCCCAGGGGTGCTCACTAGAAGTGCCCTGCTTCCTGCAGGAAGACCTGGCTGGAGGGACCCCTGGGATCCTCACTGCCTGGAGCCAGCCCAGGGGCAGGGGACATGTTAGTCACCTGTGGTCCTCCTGCAGGTTCTCCTGAAGAGGCATCTGAGGGGGATGCTTCCACGGCCACCAGCAGCACTGCTGCTGCACCTCCCTCTGGACACGGGCAGTGCCCTCCTCCCCCGGCCTGCGCATCCACCTGAGCTCCGTGTGAAGTCAAAGCTCAGGCATCTCAGAGATTTTCCCCCGCAGGCCCTGCAGCCACTGAGACCCTTATATGCCCTGAGCTGCATGCTAGGGAGAGAGGGGTCTGTGGGAGACCTTGGCCCTTAGCCGTCGACTCCTCTGGGGAACACCATGAAATCCTCAGACTGGGGATGTTCTCTGGAGCCGTCTTTATCCTCCTCTTCTGCCCCGCATCTCCTACTCCATGACCTGGGTCCTGTCCCTAAACCCCTGTTACATCCCCAGTGTCTGATCCATGCCAGCCCTTCTTTAAATATGTGTTGAACCCATTTCCCATTTGCCCAAGAAATGAGTGCTGGCAACTAGCTGCACTTTTTTTTTTTCTAAATGGGAAATGGGTCAATAAATGAATGAGTGAATGAATGAATAACAACACAACCTGAGTCTCCTGTCACATGGTTATTTTAAGACCTGCATTTGTTTTTATAAAGGAGGAAAATGAGTCCCTGCAGCTGTGATTGCCTCTGAATTGAGTTAACTTGTTTCCACACTGTCATGCCATGGTCACAGTGGGACAAACGTACACCAAGCTCACCACAGCCTTTCAGCCCTGCCTTTCCGCCTGCACCGCCTGTGGTCATGGCATCAGGGCTTCTCTCATGGTGGGCCTCTACCCACCACACACTCTGGGCCATCTCCTCCTCTCCGACAGCCTGGGGTTCAGTGATCCCTGTCCCTGTGTCCCACCTCAGAGCACTTGCCTCTCCACCCTTTCCCCAATTTCTCTGCCACTGTTTCTCCAGTCTCCCAGGAATGTCTTCTGCCCAATCTCCTGTCCCAGGTTCTAGAACTTGTCCTGGAACTTCCCCAGAGCTGAGTCTCTAATAGGAGAGCTGATGACAGGTACAGCCGCGGTCAAGCCTCTAGCCAGCAGATGGAGGAGAATCAGCCCGAGGGCCCCGCAGTATCCTCCCTGCTGCACACCTGGGCCCATATCCCCCTCCACACCTGCAGCCCCCACCTCGGAGTCTGCCTCAGCGTCTCCTCCCAGCACCTTCCTCAGGAAGGGCCTGAGATCTTGCATGGCGTGTTTCCCCTCGGCGAACTCCTAGTCACAGCAGCATCTTGAGCAAGAGCCTCCTGGTGGAGCGATCCTCTTGGTGCTCCGCCCTGGCATTGTGTCCTCAGCTCCAGGGCAGATCACACACTTTCCTGGACCAAAATTACATGCAGGCCACCCCTGCTGGCCCCCTGCCCCACAGAGGGAGGCCCGGGGTCAGGGATGGCACCAGGACCACAGCTTTGTTGTTCCCTGAAGGAATTCTTTCGGCATGTTTCAAAGACAAGAGTTAAGGAAACAAAGCAGAGGGAAGATTCTGATCATTGCAAAAGGAGAAGTTTGCCTGTGGACCAGCAGGGGGCGCGGTGAGACCTTCTCTGTGTGTTTCTGCAGGACAGGTGCTCACAGCTGATAAGCCCTCAACTGACAGAAGCCCAGGGCTGCTCCTTCACTTCCTCCTGGGACTCTGCAGCCTTGTCCCATCTGTGCCTGGCAGAGTCGTCTACACACGACCTGTGTGTGGTCCCAGCAGCTGCTGCTTTCTCTGGTCCTACCCGTGGGGCAAACTCTTGCCTCATGCCAGCCTCCCTGTCCAAGGGCCTGGTCCCTGTGAGTGCACCTGGGGGCAGGCAATGGGGGACTCATTTGCATGGTCAGTCCCTCCCCTGTGAGCCCAGTGACACTGCGATAAGAGCGGCCTGGGGCAGCCCAACCCTGGGTCTGTGGCCTCAGAGGTAGCCGTGTCCACCATGGCCCTGACTCCTCTCCTCCTCCTGCTCCTCTCTCACTGCACAGGTAGGGACAGGGCTTAGAGCTGAGGGTGGCTCCCAGCCTGATCTGTTCCCCATGGCTCAGATCCCTCAGCAGCTGTGCCCTGACCCTGCTTCTCACCGTTCTGTGTCTGTGTCTGCAGGTTCCCTCTCCCAGCCTGTGCTGACTCAGCCACCCTCCCTGTCTGCATCCCCGGGAGCATCGGCCAGACTCCCCTGCACCCTGAGCAGTGACCTCAGTGTTGGTAGTAAAAACATGTACTGGTACCAGCAGAAGCCAGGGAGCGCTCCCAGGTTATTCCTGTACTACTACTCCGACTCAGACAAGCAGCTGGGACCTGGGGTCCCCAATCGAGTCTCTGGCTCCAAGGAGACCTCAAGTAACACAGCGTTTTTGCTCATCTCTGGGCTCCAGCCTGAGGACGAGGCCGATTATTACTGTCAGGTGTATGACAGTAGTGCTAATCACAGTGAGAGAGACAGATGAGGAAGTGGGACAAAAACCAAGGTTTTAAGCTTCTCACGTTTACTGAACTGGTTAAGAACTTCGGTGGTTAATAAAATCACATTAATACTGGATTGTTGTTAAAAATGGTGCCACATTATAACTGTGTCCCATTTTTCACATAATACCCATAGTGACTCAGCCAAAATCAAAACACAAAAACTTATACCAGTACTAAGAAACACTAATATTACTAACCAATTTCCACTAGCAAAAGAGTTGTGAAACAGGTGAAATACATCCAGATTGCATAATACATAATACCACTATATATGAGAGTTTTATAAAATTATGTATTATGTATATGTATAATATATGAAATAAAATGTCAGCAGATGTTCTCCCACCAGTAGCCAGCAATCCTGCCCCACCTCTAGAATAAATGGTTACCATGGATTGAATACGCGAACAGCCCTGGCAGCTTTGCAAGATGACTCTCACTGTTTGTTATTGTTTTATTTGTTTTTCAGATTGTTTTTCTTTTCTTTTTTTTTTTTTTTTTTTTTTTTGAGACGGAGTCTCGCTGTCACCGAGGCTGGAGTGCAGTGGTGTGATCTTGACTCACTGCAAGCTCCATCTCCCTGGTTCGAGCGATTCTCCTGCGTCAGCCTCCTGAGAAGCTGGGATTACAGGCACACGCCACCACGCCCGGCAAATTTTTTTTGGATTTTTTAGTAGAGACAGGGTTTCACCTTGTTGGTCAGCCTGGTCTCCAACTCCTGACCTCATGATGCGCCGTCCTCAGCTTCCCAAAGTGCTGGGATTACAGGCATGAGCCACCGCACCCGGCAATTCCTAATAGCTTTTCCGTGAGTGTAATGCCACAATCATCTTTTAAAATGTTCTCAGAACTAAAGGTTACTGGGCACCTAAATGATGTTTCATGACAGTTTTGGGTGATTTTGCTGCATCTATAATTTTCTGTATAAGTGAGAACTGCTTAATTTGAAAGCTAATTTCTCACAATGTAAATCTCTTCATTCCTGGTAGTCTACTTTCTACAAAAGTGTATTTTTACACAACATTAAAAAATGGTGTACCTTCATCTATGACAGTACATTAATTTTGACAAGCAGCTTTCAGGCATAAATTGAGAAGTGTTTTATATAAAATGTATTATTTTGAACAGAGTTTGTGATCTGGTGGTTATGTTGTTGAAATTTGCATTTTACAATTCTTAGAAACTTATATTGATGTGTTCTTGTTACCAAATGATTGGCCCATTACATTTTGATAAAAATAGATTTGTTGTTTTGGAATCATTATTTGTCTAGAAATGGTCAATCTTTTAGAGAGAAATACTTTAGATTGTGGGTACTATCCCACAATCCTCTGTTAAGTATTTCTTCTTCTTTAAGGGATAGTACCAGGTCTTACTTGAATGAAAGTCTGAGGCTTGCTGATGCAGAGTGACTATTCTGTACTCGACTGATGTTTAGAGTAGAATGTCGGGTGCTCTCAATTGTTTTTATTTACGTTTGTGATTTTGTTATAAGGTAATCACATGGTATAAGACTCTGTGACAAGATCAACCTACTGCAATATAGCATGTTAGATTCCCCTAAGAGATTAAAAAGCTGATGGCATAAATGCCTGGAGCCAACCTCAGCAGTTACTTCATAGCAGAAGATACTGTCTTAATGCTCCTTTTAAATTCTTTTAAAAGGCAACATAGGATCATCCTTTATTAATGTATAAATGTCTGCAAAGATTGTGTGGTTTTTTTGAGTTAATGTTTCCCACCTAAAATCTATCATACTGCCACTTTGCCTAATTGTAGTCATATTTATTAAGTAATGCAGTTTGTACTTTTGTAACATTTTGTGAGTTTTGTACGACATTGTATTTGTATAACAGAGCAGTTCCCAGCTTATTGAATGAGTAAATAAAATGTAAAATCATACTTTACAAAAAGATCTGTGTGGCTGATGGAATTCGGACACTCCCCTCCAAATGGAAAGTGATGTGTTTCTTTAAAGTCAAGGTAGAGGAGTTTTCATGCCCCTACTGAGGTTTTCATGCCCCTGTTGAGACGTTTTCAAAACATGCTCTTAATTTAACATTTAAATATATCAGAGTCTTAGAATGTGAGAATAGTAACATTGGTTTAATTTTGTGATAACATTAAATCTACTGGAAGGATATTCTCCTTTGAAAAGATTCTCAGCTCAGTGATCGTAGAACCCGTACTTGCGTTTCATTCAATGAGGAAAGACATTGAAATGCCATGCTAATATCCTCAGTTGGGTGGTTTCTCCCTTCCCTAATCAGCCTATGAATGTGTCGACGCAGTACTCCACAGTTGAGGCTTAGGTACTTACTGAAAGGATGCTGACTGAGCATTCCTTTTTAATAATTGCTATTTCAAAATCACATTTTGGCCGTGAGACAGGTTGCCACTCACTTTATGCTCTGCCTAGGCAGGAATGGGTCCTGGTAGACACATGAGCATCTTTGTTTTGTTTCTCTCTCTCTCTCTCTCACGTACACACACACACACACACACACACACACACCCCTCTCTTCTCTCTGGGTACACATTATTCTGGACATCTTCAGTTTCCAGGATTCTCTGCATCTCCAGCTAGAAGTCAGGGCTTAGCCTGTGGTGATCCAGCCATCCTCAGGGTTGAATCTCCACGAGGTCACAGGAACCACCAGTGGCATGGAGGGTTAGGGGTCCCGCTATCAGGTCCAGCCAGGAAATCCTCTAAACCTCTGTTTTTGGAAAAGTTGAATGCTGGGGAATCACAAGTCAGGTCCCTGCTTCCAGTCCGCAGTTCAGCCTCCCTGACTTTCTCTGGGTTCCAGTCAGTGCATGAAGATGATGGTGACATTTATTCAGGGACAGTACAGCAGCCTCAGTGCTGCTCACGCAGTGCTCAAGGCCATGCGGATGGAAGACCTGACCTTACATGTGCTGTCAGGGCTGGGACTGTCCCTTACCTAGTCACCCCGTGTGGTCCCTCTAGCCAGGCTGAAATTCTGCTGAGAAATCTCCTGCCCCAACTCAGGGCACATGGCCTGTCACATCAGGTACCTGGTCCCCTCTTCCCTCCACCTTGCACATCTCAGACATGGGGTCCATTGACAAAAATTTCTAGGTGCAGTTGGCCTCCAGGTAAAAGAAGATCATTCTTCTAGTCATGGGGTGGGTGAAGGAACAGTATCTCTGTCCTGCACTGGCTGAACCCAGGAGCAAAGGCTGCAACTGTGCCCAGACCACACAGGTATCACCCTAATGACTCAGTCCTGGAATCTCTGTCATCCTCTCAGGCTGATGTGTACAGTTATTTTCTGCTCAGCAGTCCATAAAACATCTTCTTTCTTCTAGTCACCCTGGTTCCACCCTACAATGGCATCTCCATATGGATTTTACGGTTCCCCCAGTAAGATGACTCTGAAGTTCATAGAAGGAGTTTCTCCTGGGGTTCCACAGGGCAGCAAATTAGAGCTTTCCTCTCTGCAGGACCAGATCTATGACAGGGTGATCATGACTCTAAAACATAGAAATCATATTAGAAATATACCACAGATAATGTGCAACCAAAGAAGAAAAAAATAGCTTCCCAATACTTTCCCATCTCAAAAAATATATTTTCCACCAATATTCTCTTTTCAAGGGTAATAACTATTTGAAAATTAAGTGGTTAATTCCAATTTTATCTTCAGGATAAAGTTATTGTATTTCAGATCAAACTTATTGAGGTGGAAGTTATATAAATAATATACATCGATGTTAAGTTCACAGATTAGTAGGTAGTGACTAACATATATATATAATATATATAAAAGCATGATTTTTGTTTATATACCTGTGTGTTTATACACATTCATATATACAAATATCTATCTGTCATCTATCTATCGATCGATCGATCTGTCTATCTACCTACCTACCTACCTACCTACCTACCTACCTACCTACCTATCTAAAGATGCAATTCTTTTAACCAACCACAATGAAGATACGAAACACTTCTATCATTCACAAACACCTCTTGTGCCAATTTTCAACCAACACCTCTTGTGCCAATTTTCAACAAATGTTCCACACACCCAGCCCCAAGGCCGCAGTGATCTGCTTTCTATCATTATAGCTTGGATTTCTGTTGTATAGCATTTTATCTTCTGAGAGACATAAAATACGTATTCTGTCATATCAACCTTGTGATACTGAACATAGTAGCTTTATAATGTATTCATGTTGTTCTGTATGAGCAATTTGTTCTCTTTGGTATTGTGGTGGTGGAGGACTCCATTGTGTATACATATTCTACTGTTTTTACTTTGTTCGCTTGGGGCATACATTTTGGTTGTTTCCGGTGTGATGTTATGAATAATCCTGCTATGTAATTTCATGTATAAATAACCTTGTGGATACACATTGTTATTTCTAGTGGGTAATTAACGAAAGGTAGAATGCTAGGGCACAGGAAAAAGCATAAGTTATGTTTGTAGTTAATGACCAAACTGTTTTTCAAAGTGTGTGTGTTCCTTCCAGCAATGTGTCAGAGTCCCGCTTGCCTTACATCCTCTTCAATAATTGACAATATCAGTCTGTTGACTCTGATTCATTATTGAATTTGCTTAATGGAATATTGATATGACCTATCAATTTTGTATTTTTTAGACTCATGATATTAAATGTATGTTATGTGCTTACAGGTCATTTACTTGTCTTCTTAGATGAAGTGCCAGTACAAATCCTTATCTCATTTTCAATTTAATCCTTTGCATTTCAGCTGTGCTGATCACTTCTTTTTTTAATTTTTTAATTTTTAAAATTATTATTATACTTTAAGTTCTAGGGTACATGTGCACAACGTGCAAGTTTGTTACATATGTATACATGTGCCATGTTGGTGTGCTGCACCCATTAACTTGTCATTTACATTAGGTACATCTCCTAATGCTATCCCTCCCCCATCCCCCCTCCCCACAATAGGCCCTGGTGTGTGATGTTCCCCTTCCTGTGTCCAAGTGATCTCATTGTTCAATTCCCACCTATGAGTGAGAGCATACGGTGTTTGGTTTTCTGTTGTTCTTGCCATAGTTTGCTGAGAACGATGGT